TAAATCACTATACTACTGATATATACATAAGATATTTTTATAATTTCAATTCAAGTCAAAAGTCATGAGCGATATAAAAACACTATGTTATTTTATATTTATATCTATTTGCGCAGTTATAATTAATCTCGTATTATTCTTTAAGGAAACAATTTTTTAGCTTGAATTCGTTATTGTAAACAAGATCCGCTGCAAAGAATTTGCGCAAAGTTTGCAATACTTTCGTGTCGATCATGTGTTCGAAGTCATATCCCGCGTGATGACCTTTTGCACGAGAACGAATCTAGCTTTCAACTCGTTTAATAATATTTGTTTTAATGGCGTTTATCTGGTGTGACACAAGACATATTCAGAGAAATCATTGGTACGAATATATACGTGTATATATAATAATATGTAATACACGCGCGCGTGTGTCATACTTATTCTTTATCGCTACCTTAAATAATCAGCTTTGCTATCCGCATGTCCCGAAAATTAAGAAAAAGACTCACATCAAAGAAGAATTACTGTATCAGATACAGTGTTATCAGGATATACAACAGGAAATAATAAAAAATTAACAAATGGATTTGTATCTATTGACAAGAATTTAAATAAAGCGGTTAATGATAAATACAACTAAATAAATTTATAAGTAATCTATATTTGCAATTAATCTGTTTGATAATAAAATTAATAAGAATAATATCTAGCATTCGCTTTCCATAAATAAAATGAGAATAAAGAATTCAATATCGGATCGAACGATTTCAGTATCCACTGTCTAATGCCCTTATGACCTATCGATTTGATTGCGCGCTCGACGAAGGTGTATAAAAGTGCGAGCGCAGCGTCGGGCGCTGTTCAGAATAAATCTCGTCTGCGATGAGCGTTGGAAAAGTTTGGAAAATGAAGTTCCTGGCGGTATTAACCATCGTCACGACCATCAGCTTCAACCTTGTAGCAGCAGACTACAATACTATTCAAATTGCTGACAAAGATTTCCTTCTGAAGCAGAAAAAAATTTACAATCTTGTATACTATATCTCACAACCCTCCCTCGTAAATCCTTCATTGTACGAGGAAGGTCGCTCGTATAATATCGAAGCCAACATAGACTCGTATACTAACACGGTAAATACGAAATAGCTAATTCTCATGGTTGCATCAATGATTATCCTACAACATACAATTAGATCCATCGCAATGCCTTTTATAAAATATTCATCTGGATCCTTTATATCGTTTTGCAGACTGCGGTGAAGAACTTCCTCTATTTATACGAGAATGGTATGCTTCCTCGTGGCGAGCTTAGTTCCTTGTACTATCCAAAGCTCCGTAAGGAAACGGAGGCGCTATTTCGCCTACTCTATTACGCCAAAGATTTCGAAACCTTTTTCAAAACGGCGCTATGGGCCCGTATTTACATCAACGAGATGCAATTTGGTGAAGCCATGTATGCCGTAATTACACTCCGCGACGATACCAGATTCATTCAGCTGCCGCCTCCTTATGAGCTGTACCCGTATGGATTCTTCAACTCCGAAGTGCTCAAGAAAGCATATCACGCGAAACTCTTCGGTAAACTTGGTACGTAACTTGGTACTTAATCAAATTTATCCTTGTTCATCCTTGTCAATTACATCCTTGTCTTATACTCGAAACCATTAATTTGTTCATAAACTGAAAGAAGTGCATGCAATTTTCAGAATGTTGTGATATTTTTCTTCGATTAGATATATTAGGTCATTTAAAAAGTATCCGCGGTTTTTTGTTCAATTTTTGAATGAAAAAACCGCGGATACTTTTTAAACGACCCAATATATTTGAGTAGATATTATTTTCAATGTAAATTTTATTTATTAAATCTTTAGTGTTATACGTAATTAAAGTTTACGTGTTTTCGATTGAACCGTTCTCAATGTAGACTCAAAGAAGTTCGATGAATACGATACCTACATCATTCCGGCAAATTACTCCGGATGGTACATGTCCCGCGAGTACGATGTGGAGCATAAGATTAATTACTTCACCGAGGACATTGGCTTGAACGCTTTCTACTTTTACGTGCGGCAAGAATATCCATTTTGGTTAAAGGGCGAGGAATTCGGCTTGGAGAAGAATCGCGGGATGAATTACCTTTACGGTCACAAACAGTTGCTGTCTCGTTATTATTTGGAACGGTTATCCAACGACATTGGTAAAATCGAAGATTTCGATTGGCACAACAAGTTCTACATCGGATACTATCCGACAATGACCTATCACAATGGATTGCCGATGCCACAGAGACCATACTGGAGCAAGTTCCCTTATTACAAGTACAAATATATAAAGGTGCAGTTTAGCGCTTTAGCCAATTACTAAATTACTTAACAGAACAAGTTTGACTGTACAGTAAAAAAAATTGTATATTTATGTTGAAAACGGTCCACTCACGTGTTAATAGTTTGTGTTGAATTTTTTAAAACATATTTGAGTATTAATTTAACATAATGTGATTATATTATTTAAAGGTTTTGTGTAAAATTAATATTCAACGTTTCTTAGTGTCAAAATGACACAATTTATGAGTAAGTGAATAAGTAACATAAAAATAATGTGTTTTAAAACGTTAATTCTAAGACAAATGAATGAAATATGTGTTAATTTAATATATCATATATGTTAATTTTCCGAAAAAATATGTTCCCGATTTTTTTTACAAACTGTGTCAATATTATCTTCCTTTGTATTTATTCTTTTATATATTTATATTACCTTCTAACATATTTATTTTGTGTAAAATTAACTCGAAAATTTGAGTGGACCGCGATTTGGGACATGCGATTTATGTTAAATTCAACACATTTTTTTCCAACTATATATATCGTAGAATATTTAAATATTTTATATCGTAATATATACAATATCTAAACACACATATCTCATTAGTCTTGTAAACGGGAAGAATGCTTATTAAAGTCGCTCATTTTATTTGTCGCTTTTATCATCCAATATACACCGTTGTGGGCACGTGACACATTAATTAATCTGTTGCCGCTTTTAGGACATAGAAGACATAGAATCTCGAATATCGGCAGCCATTGACTCAGGATTTATCTTGGACGCAACTGGTAAAATGATCAACATCTACACATCCGAGGGTCTCAACATTCTTGGTAATATTATTGAGGGCAACATGGATTCCTGCAATCCCGATTTTTACGGCAGCATCGATCTACTTGCGAGAAAAATCTTTGGATACAACTTGGAACCATCAACCCCGTATCAGATTATACCTAGTGCCTTTGAGTTTTACAGCACGTCCATGAGAGACCCTGCATTCTATCGTTTTTACAAAAGAATATTGTCCTACTATTTCAGGTATTATCTAAAAGACCTAAAAGTAAAATTTTCTGCGAGTGTTTTAAATACTTTACATTTAAAATAACGATCTCTTTTCAATAATACGAATATGATTTTTATTTAGGTACAAATTGCATCAAAAACCGTACAACAAGAACGAAATTATTTATCCCGAATTGAAGATCGAGTCCTTTGTCGTAGATAAATTAATTACCTATTTTAATCAGTTTGATACTTCGATCAACAACGGTTTGATAATGGATGATGCAAAGGAAGCGGAAAACACGTTGATCAAAATTCGTCAGTATCGTCTAAATCACAATCCATTTAGCTTCCATCTCGCTATCAACTCCGAGAAATCTATGAAAGCCGTGATACGCATTTTCCTCGGACCAAAGTATAACAGTCATCACAAACCGATTGATTTCGCTGAATACGCAATGTACTTTTATGAAATGGACAACTGGGTAGTCGATCGTTAGTATTTCGATTTAATGTCTTACTATGCATGTCTTACTATGCATGTACAATGTCGTATTTGATTGTAGAAATAGATATATAGGGGAAAAAAGACTCTAATTTAATTCTCTACGTTGCATTGCAGTAAACGCCGGTATGAACAAGATTGTCCGAAATAGTCAAGACTGCTTCTTCACCATGCCCGATCCGGAACCAAGTGAAATCCTATACAAGAAGTTGCTTAAGGCCTTGGATGGTTCCGATAAATTCTCGTACGCGGAAAGAATCTACGGATTCCCTGAGCGTCTGCTCTTACCTAAGGGCAAGAAAGAGGGTATGCCCTTTCAGATCTTCGTATACATCAATCCGGTCGAAGGAGAACTGATTCCTTCTATGTCCCGCGTCTTTGGTGGCTACAAATTTGACAATAAGTCATACGGATTCCCCTTGGATAGACCTGCTTTCAATTTCCGCTACGCTGGACCGAACATGATGTTGAAAGACATTATGATCTACCACAAGGACGAGACGGAGTTGAATATGACTTATTGATCGCTATTCACGCTTTAAATCTGTCATCATTTGATTCAGTTATACTGCACTCAATCATGCTTCTAAATGTATCAAAATGTAGTTTTACGTCTTTTACAATAAAGAATTTTTTATGAATCACAAATATACGTATTAATATATTAACGCGTACTGTCCACAATTATAAATAAAAAAAGTTCGACTTAGTAATTAATTTATAGCGATTACTGTTAGAATTCTGCGATAGATTTTTTGTTTCATTGACAACATCATGCTCTGAATAAAAGAGTTAATTATTTTGATAAATCATAAATAGAAAATGAAAATTGCTTTTTAACTAATAATAAAATTCTTTGTACATAATGCGATGTTTTAAGATCAATAATTTCCTTTTTCAAAGAAAATCTCTTATAAAAAAAATATATTGTACACTTTTGCCTTATTTTTTTAGGAAAATTTCCGTTAGCTGTAGACCACGATTTTGGTCATACCCTATTATAATTCGTGGCCTTTAACGGATTGAATACCATAGTCCAATACCTCCGTGTACATTCCTCGTATGACACAACGGTCAAATGCATGGCCGAGGTGAAGGTAAGCGGCCCCTTAAGCGGCGCAGGTGAAGAGTAAAATTCAGTTTTGCTATGACCGTTGACTGGTAAACAGGTCCGACCGGCTCGCGAGATAGTCTCGAGAAGTCATCTTGACAGCCGCGGCTATTCTAAAACGGCAATTTCTTCCTTCCTTGGTCTTTACAGTGAATTAACACGCCATGGAATTTCGTACGTTTGTTGTAAGTTGCGAACATTATTTTTATCATTCACTCTTTAAGACATGAGCAACAAACGAATCGTATTAGATCTAAACTTCTCTAGATTCTTTTTCATCTTTGGATTCTCTGTAAACTATATTTCCTTTCGTTAACCAAAATTTGACACGTAGGCGTTTCATTTATAACTTCCTATTATCTATAATTCAAAACGAAAAGAAAAGAAAAGTAATTCTAATTACTCTCTGACGAAGAAATTTGCTTTAATTTAATAAAGAAAATTTTCAAGAATTAAAATTTAATGCGTGTCAATTTGTACGTGTAAGTTCTTAAGCATTTCTATTATAAATTTAAACTTTAAATTGAGCTGAAAATCAAATAAAAATAAGACAAATGTCAAGATTTATATACGAAAATAAATTATAAGAAATCCAATTTGACACCGCAACATCAAACTCTTCGTGATTTGTATCCACAAAATTAGAAGTTAAAGGAACAATTATCAAAATTTCATACAATCATCATATTATATATGGCAGTGCATTTTTCTTGTAAAAGTGACGCAATACCAGAAAGGAAATTATTTGAAAATTAACAGATACAAAATTATCAGTTTTAAATCGCGTTATTCTTGAAGAAGCAAATTCGAGACAGATATTTATGTGATCGTTGGCAACTTACAACCGTGTCCTGCTAAACAAATCGAGTCTGCCGTTTCTGTCGATACCGGTTCGGAGACGTCATTGTCCTCGTAACTGTATCGGCACTTCCTAACGCTTAGATCTACTGCAAGAAAGTAGGACGGACATCCACCTTTTGCAATGAGAAGAATTCTTTCATCAAAAATTGTCAAATTTTACTGGACTTACACCTTAGTTTAATAAGGGTCTCGCTAATTAATAATTACATCTTCCTATAATATATGCAAGTTGAAAATAAACTGGGCTATTGCACGTTACGATTCAATTAGATAATAAAATTATACAAAATATGAACGATTCTACGGATAGATTTTATTACCGCAATAATATTATTTCGCCAATAAAAATCAATAAAAGTTTTTTCTCATTTTCCTAAAAGACGATGTAAATTTTATTGTACATTGCTATGTTATACAAGTCTCGGTAGGTTAATTTATCGTTTTGTCATATCTACGATATTTGTAACGATAGGAATTGCATGAAACAAATGTCTATTCCTTTTCAATCTTGAATGCATTTTTATTCATTTATAGGAATGGCATGGAGTATATTTCTATGCTTTTCAATCTGTAAATGATAATCTGTAATAGTATTTTGTGCGCATCGTGAATATTACTTAATTTAAAATTCTGAATAGGAAATATAGTTTTTTTAATCCAGTTATATAATATAAAAAAAATTTTTCTTTTAAAATGGACCATGTACACTATTCAATTCAAAATTGTGAAGAAATTTTTCGTTTTAATTCAACTGAGTTAAAAAAAAATTGTATTGTAAAAATATATCATGAGAATTCTCTTTCATTTAATAGTTAAAAGAAACATAAAAAGAATTACGTAAATATATACAAAATAAATGTTACTCTCTCTCTTATATAAATTTCTTATTTTTAATTAATAAATTAATCTCTTTTATTAATCTCTTTATATTTTATATTAATACGTTTCCTTTATTATACAGCTAGCGTATATTTTTTGTATAAAAGTTTTAAAATAATAACTATAGAATTTCATGTAATTACTGCTTTAATTTATTCAAACTTTTATACGTATAAAAATTTTTTTATATGGAATCCAAATTTTTATAGATCTAAAATACGGATTCAGATGGATATTGAATATTTCCAATCCATTTCAATTCATTTTCGTTTGTTGGAAAGAAAGGCAATAAATAGATAGTTATTTTCTATGCGAAATCCTTTCTCGATCTTTAAAAAATTAACAAATAAATTCGCAATGTGTTATAACTATAACGTAACATCATACGCTTTAAAGATATATTGAAGAAGATGTATTGAATAAGATGAAAAACACATGTAGACGTGCATATCTGCACGTGTGTGCATCTTCATATTATATTATTCTCCATATTGTTTTCTTAAATATTGTTAGTTCCTGAATGTATAAAAGAAGATTCATCAGTAAAACGGTATAATGCCTCGGTTAGTAGGGCAACGCTCGAGTAACACGCACGTTATAAAATAGGCTGAACAGCCCGCAGCGAGAAGCGTGGATCGTGGACCGTGTACCGTTAGCATCGTACGCATACCTCGGTAACTTGAAGGAATATCTCGTAATCATCGTCGGTGTCGACGCGATGTAACGTAATACCTGTTAGCCGTTACCCATAAAGAGAATTTACATAAAAAAAAAGATTCGACATTACAGCGAAAAGATCGGGAAAATCAAATATGAGTCATGATTGCGACAAAATTGAAAAATATTATTTATAAATTATATATTTATGTTACAATTACATATTTATATAATTGTTGAATCTTTTGCGTTTTGTCGTTTTCGAAGAAATTGATCCATTTATAGTTGCAACGTGTTGCTAAGGATTATTGAATAAATTTTTCTTCAAGTGTGTGTTTTCTCAGCTAATTTAGTTTTTTTTTTTTAGTAAATATAATTAAAATAATTAATCATACTGCGGAGCAAACTGAAATTTTTTTAATGAAAAAACGAGAGAACTACATATATCTAATCGTAAGATGTATAAACCATTAAACATTTATATCTTCGCTTATAGGCCATGTAGAAGAAAAATAAAAACACTTTTATTATATAACTCAAACCAAAGCTATATGGATTGAGCCTATTCAGAATTTGATTGTTTCAACCGTTTTGAGATAATCTGATGATCTCGGATGCCGGAACTCTTGCGTATGATGAATATACTGCTTAATCAGTTCGTCACGCATAAACTGTGTGATGCTGAGAAGACGCTAATGTGTCTTAATTCTGTAATTATTTTCTTCTGTAAAACAAATCATTGTTATCTAGATGATACTCTTGTGTGCATCATCATACGCCGAAGATGAGTCCAAAAATACCAAACCGGTTGTTGACGACAACAAGTCCACACGAACCGAAGAGCCTCCAGAGGGATATTATGCGTTCGTCGAATCACCGAATGCGGAACCACCGAGAGTTCGGCCACCGCCCTACATTGACAGCGATAAAGAATGTTACGGTAGGTCCGGAATAAGCAAAGCGAAACCTATAATAGTTTCAATATTCTTACTTATAATTACACTTAACGCTATTTATAAGAATTGTCCCGTAATTATCGGTTCCTATAATAGTTAAAAATTCGCATTTTTAATAATTAAAGAAATTATTATTGTATAATAATACATTTATTTCAAACTCTGAGTATATTGACTTTCGATACTAATGATGTTTTATATAATTTGTCATTTATATTATATTTTTTATAGGTAGCGATAAACATGGAAAAGGATATGTTTCCATACATAATATATGCGGAGATTTGAATAAAGGCTATATTCCGCGAAATCCAATGAACCAATACGTAAACGGCTCGTCATATCCTTTGTAAGTGAGAGATAATAAATTAAATAAAGTCATTATTAAGTTAAGTCAGATCGCGGAATTAAACAATTTTTATTAAATTAGCAACGTTTGTAAATTTTTTTCACAGTGCACTGATAAAGAATCATACTCTCAAGTTCCTTAGTAAGGCGTTACCAATTCTCAAAGCTGACGATTCACTGCCAAAGGTCGCCAAAGTGCATTCATTGTCACAAAATTCGTAAGTATGGTGTTCTCACAATTTGCATTCTCAACTTGCCAAATTTTTCTTTTATAAATTAAGAATTTATTTTGAATATTTTATATATCATCTTTTCATATGTATACGTCCTATACATAATTTTTTCCATTCGTTTTTCAAATATTATGTTGCTTTTTAATAAATGAAAACTGCAATAGTATAATGTAATTTTTAATTTTTATCTAATAATAATAGATACTAATTTGATATATCGAACCAACTAATAACGCACAACTAATTCTCTCTCCGTAGCGTTGATACAGATGAAGAAGAAAAACATGATAGAAGCAAAAGATCCAGTCCATTGGATTCGACTGTAGTTCCGGATTCCAGTCGACACGGTCGTAAATTTTGCGATAACGGTAGTGGAGTGTAAGTATATTTGTCTCAATTATGTCTCAATAAGTTTCAAGTTCTATCACTTCTACCTAAATATGTATTTAAAATGGAAATGGCATTTTGCATTTTCCATTTTAAATGGTTTTTGGAAAATCATTTTCATTTTAAATGGAATCATATCTATTATTTAATCATTTGTAAAATAGGTAAATGGTTTTCATAAATTTTCCCTATAATCGTTGACGTTAACGATAAGAAAAACTAAGTCCCATATGATTAGCCAAAATTTTTTATGAATATTTAAATAAATTGCAAATTAAACTATAAAGAGAAAATTAATTTCAGATAGTCCATAAATATCAAATCTTAATAAAAAAATAAATATTCTAGCTTTATGTAAAATACTATTATATATAGATTTCTAAAAATATGTATATTACTCTTAACATCTAATCTTGACCGTAACCAGCGCTTCTCATATTAATTTGATTTATTCAAGTAAACATTTTCAAATCATAATATTAAAAAATTTAAAATATTCTCAAAAACTTTATTTATAATACTGTACTATGATACTTTATTTATAATACTGTACTATGATACTTTATTTATAATACTATAATCAGGGTTTTCCATTGAAAATGGATTCCAAACGTAAAATACTTTTAAAAAATGTATACCACCCTAACAGAAAGTTTTTTAACAAAAAATATAGATTGAAACAAGATTTTATAAATTTTTAATTTTTCGTAAATATTGTAGTGGGATGTAGAGTAGTGTTGTTCGTTTGAAAAACCAAGAAATCCTCCGCCTTCAAACAACGTCTACAAATATCTACAAAAAACTATGGATTTCTGAGACAAACAAACCTCAATGAATGTCCCACTACGAATAATTAAGGATTTTTAAGATTTTGTCTCAATTTATATAGTTCTGTATTTTTTTGTACAAATTTTTTTTCGCTAGAGCAGAAAAACCTATTTTGCACTCAAAAACTATAATATTTAAAATATCTATTTATCCATTTTACCTTTAAAATGGATCTGAAAAATTCATTTTGCATTTTGCATTTTAAATACACTTTTTAAAAATATTTTACTAGTATTTTAAATGGAATTCGAAAGACATTTTATCAGCCCTACCTATGCATATATTATTAGGTGTTGGAATTAATTCGTAGCGTTTTACAAGTGATGGGAAGTACTTTCATTAATGTATTTTTTAATGCTCATGTGAAATAAATAACATTCTTTCATTAAAAAACGCTACGAATTAATTCCAACACCTAATAGATTGGCAATATATTGGCAATCAGGTAGCCACGTATAATGAACTATTTTTTTTTAATGTCAATTTTCCGAAAGCATCGATACTGGTAAAATAATATAAATTTTTGAAAATAAAGATGATTTCCTTTTAAAAAGAGAGAAGAAGATCCTTCAACGATCGGGACGATTATCGTTTCCTTTAGAATTTAGAGTTTACTTATAGGTATATTAACGCAATCTTAATAATGTAGTTTCTTTTTGGCAAATAGGATGTGCATGTTATTTAAAGCGATCCAAGGCGAGCCGATCACGTCATCGGCATCAGCCATCGAACGCCGGGATGATCCTTCGACATCCGATTATCGACGAGGAGAACGCGTACCATCACAGGAAAAAACGGAATATACGGGTCCGCCGACACCATGTCCAGCCAAAGTCGAATATGCGACTCCGGTTTTCGCCAAGAATTATCAAGGTGTTTGGAGATACGTGGTGCAGATACCTTACGAAGGTTACTTTACGCAGACAATCGAACTCACCAGATGCATGTAGGGTTCCGATTATACTAATTTGCAGTGTAGTTAACCATCTGAAGTCCAAGAGTAATATGTATTTTCGTCATTGTAGGCAATCGAGATGCCATTACTTGGATGGTGGATGTTTATCGTCGCCAAGATGGACGAGTTTATTGGTCGCTGAAATATTTTACCCGGACACGTTCTTAGAGGAGAATCAAGAGGGTGCCGGTATCAGCTCTGCTACTCGAGATCCTGTCGCTGGATCACCACCACCGGTTCACGATTTTCAAAATTATCAGCAATATCTGCAAAAACGCGCGAGCACGGGAGAAGCACGTAACAATGGTGGTTCTCAACAACATCATTGTGATGGTGTCGATGAAATGGGTTGCTTTCAAGTAAGAGCTACATCTTCGCTTTTCTTATGTTCACTTATCTACTGAACTTCCAACACGATCAAATATCAGTAATTGAGGTTTATTTTTTGCAAAAAGTATAATTTATTCTAAAATTAGTTTTTATCTATATAGTCTTTAAAAATTCTTTTCGTAATATGGTATATCGATTGATATTGTTTAATGTTATAAATTAGCGGATAATTCTTTAATAAATATATTTATTTTTTTATATCTTTATTCCTGTTTAGGTACGACTATATTACGATTGGTTCTTGGTACCCGGAAGCTGTAAATGTTGGCGACCGGATTACTTCAATCGATACGTCCGTCGTAGCGGTTCAAATGTTGAATTATGATGAACTTTACACAGGAATGTATTGTATATTTTACATTCTGAGAACATATCACGTTGCTTTACTTCAGCGATTATATTTCAATCGTTGCTCCGTGCACGTATGAAGTTGGAGCGACTTACCTGAGTCAATCCAAATATCGCGCATAGTCATTGGCACGTCTATTTAATACAAAATCATTTTTGCTCATACATTAAATTATTTGATACTAATTTTTTTATCACAATTAAATGTGATAGTTTATAGCATTACAATAGTAAATTATAAGCGATCAAATATATTTGATTATATCTTTGATCTTCAATGTAGCCAACTTAAGTTTAATCATGCGAAAAACTATCAATTTTATACATTAATTTTATACATTAATTAGAATAAGTAAAAAAGACAGTTGAAGAAGCAAAGAAATAGATGACAATACAAAAAAATTTTCGAATACTAAAAAAATATTGTAATACTAAAAAAATGGTTTCAGATACAGAAATTTGAATACTTATATCTTTTTACGCTGCCATTTAAATTGACAAAATTATTATTTAAAACGAAAATACGATTTCTTTTAGCCATAAAAATAAAACAATGTTGAATGATATTTTATCACTATACTATTCTTGATAGTATCGTAAATAGACTACAGAATATGTGTCATCAAAAATTGTTATGTGTTATAGTGATAATTATTATAGTATATTTAAAGTTATAATAATAATTATTATAAATTAGTATTATTATAATTATCAATGATTAAAAAGCCATATAAATTATCAAAAATCCCCAAAAAGTAAAATTATACCCCCCCCATAATCATTACTATAAGACTAAATTTAAATGTTATCCCATATATATATATATATATATATACCAATTATATAAACTTGCTGTGTTTCATCAATACAATAAAAAATTAATACAATTGTAGCGTTAACTAATATTATTATATGTATTTTTTTTCTAATTTGATAACATGAATTTTGAATCTCTTAAATCATAAAATAATATATTAAACTTACTTCTTATAAATGTTATTAATTTAAAGAAATACAAACAAAGAAGTGCAAAATTTAATAAATAATAACTTTTATTTTAACTACGTGAATTCACATATGTATGTATAGTTGAACTTTAAAGATAAATGTTTCGTTTCTTTTTCGTTCACTTAATGTTTTAAAAGTTAATACTAATCAATTTATGGCACATAACCGCATCTGGAAACATAAAATACGCATATAAATGCTTGTTCTATTTTGTAGAAGCATTTCAGTGACACGCGTGATATAATTTATTATTTTTCAAATACTATTTATATATCTCAATTTCAATGACTAGATTAAGTTAATCCTTAATGAAACTTTGCTTTACTGAACAATAAGTACGATATGTAATGAGTAATAATAAAAAGCAAGCGAATAATTTATATCTAAAAAAAAACGTGTACGATAAAATTGAGAAAAAATATATAATGCACTTTAAAGGAAAAAAATTTTTATAAAATCTCAATAATTTACTCTCTCTGTATGTGTGTGTGCGCGCGCGCGCGTGTGTATGTGTGTGTGTGTGTGTGTAGATTTGTGAAAAGTCTAATCATAGAAATATTGTGTTTCGCATGAATATTTAAGAGTTAGGCTTGGATTTGATTCAATATATTATCTACAGAGTTTAGCAAATAACATTATATCGATTCGCTCAGCTTTATAAAATAAAAGTTTGCATAAAAACGTGCGCGTACCATTGTTCATTATCATTCTCAAGATATTTTCTATTTATATATTTCCAAAGATTTTCGCCGAATTTTATGTAATATCATTCACAGCATTTATGACATCGTATATACAATGTCGTTAATATACAGTTCCGATGTAAGCTTTACTTATTATTCCTTAACAAAGTATGACATTATAAAATAAATGCACACGTTATTCACATATAACTGTTTTAAAATCCTAAGAAGCACCATTATGTACACGATGTAAAATGACGACTGTTTCACTATAGTATTTACAAAAAAAAAACAATTGCACAAACATAAACGCCATATGTATATTAGCTAAATACATCTATAAACGTTTTTAATGTCACAGTTTTCTTATTTGAAAAAGTATGCATTAATTTAAAGAAATGCCTTGTATCCACGAACTGAGATCGCTGGTATCCTCGCAACTAAGACTCAAGGCATGCTTCTCACTCTGTTTGGTACCCAAGAGTAATTCAGCCGCTGTTCGACCAGTCAAATATGCCCCATGTACAGTGCTATAGAACGAAGAATGGGTATGTTCGCCCGCAAATGCCACCATAATTTTTACTGTTTCGTCTCCGTTATCTTCCGTTATCTTCTGAACCAACGGCTCAGCCAAATTTCTGATGTCCAATTGACTCGCTCCTACAGCCATCGCAGTGTATGAACCTCGCGTATACGGTTGAGATTGCCACGTGGTGCACAAACAGTTCTTCGGAATCGGTACGAAAGGATCATTGAGAAATCGCCGCAGGATTGTCGTGCACACTTCTGACACTTCTGTAGTACTCAACTTTTCCATATATTCTGCCGCGCGGCCGGATATCCAACCGAGTAGCAACGTATCCGAGATCTTAATAAACGAATATATCTTCCTAAACCAGGTCTTACTAATGTCCCGCTTTTCTGCTTCGGATAATCGATCGTCATCCCAAAGGAGCATCACTTCCGATACACCAGGATTTAAAAAAGGCCGTTCGTATTCGAGAAATATCTTATTCACTGTACCGAACATTAGTCTGTTTATTGCTTCCAGTTTGTATGTGGGCAACGACGGTTCAAACAAATCCTTAGCTGTCCTTTTTAAAACGCCTAACGGTAATGTACATACTATGTGCTCCGCAGTGATCGTCTTTCCATTTTCACATTGTACTTCTATAAGGCTATTTGATTTAAAATCAGATTTTCCTGTAGGATCGACATCGTCTTCACAACATTGTTGTTTCTGCCACCTAAAATAAAATGAATAACAAGTTCATATTACAGTCTTTGTTACATGTTCATTCAATGATTCAAATTGATGTATTCTTATGTATTTCTTAAATTATTGTAAGCTCACCTAATCTTTGTTACAACATGCTTCATAAGTATACGCTCCTTTGGTATGTGTTTCGAAACTGGTTCCAATATAGCGCTATATCCGTTTGGAAGACTAATATTACCACCTTGAAGCTCATCGTAAGAGCCCATTTCTAGGAGATCTACATCGTCCATACTGTCGCAACCCGTGACGCAAGTTTCTCTCTTGAGTAAACAGTCAAAGATTAGTTGTCTTATTCTTCGTTGTTCAGGTGGTACAGAAGACAGATATATCTCTGCTTCCAGCGCAATATGTGCCCCAACACTGGTTATACCATCCGGCGGACTGTACATGCTCAGAAAGTATTCTTCGCATCGCCTCAAAAAACATACGTAAGCCTCATAGATCTCTCGCAATACAAGAAACGGCAACTGTTTTCCATCCTCCAATGCTGCTACCACCTTATGAGGTTTCGGCACATGTACAATGTCTATTAAACCATTTGCCATCGCCAACTCAAACATGGGATTACCTAACACTCCGTGGATCCAGTTTGCTCCTAACTCAACTTTTTCATTGCCTAGATGAGATAGAAAAAAAATTTTTCTTTGAAGATATTCTATTTATTTTTTTAAATAATGATAGCAATAACGCCTCATGTGTGTTTCTATAAAGAAAAAGTATCAATATTATGCTTGTCATTTCAGATTTTTCTAAATAAAATTATTTTATATTATAAAAATAATAAAATACACAACTGATGAAAAATGTTTTCACAAAAGGCTGACAAAAGACTTTTTTCAAGTTTGCTAAATATATCAAAATAATATTTTCCTGCTTACATATAGAATTATATATTCTATAATCAATGTTATACAAAATTCACGTAAATATATTTAATTATTTACGAAAAATCGATGTATATATTTCTTTAAAGTACTGATTCTACTTCGTCTTCTATCGTCACATAATTTGTACATACATATTCAAAAGTTCTAAAGATAAATGATGATTTTAAATCACCTAGTATATTGTTAATTAATATTGCTATAATTGTGAAGTCGGTCACTGATGTATCACAAAGTAAATAAATTTAGAAGCAAGTTGTCAAGATAAGGAGAGGTTAGACTGATCGTACCGACTTGCGTCGCGATGATTCGTCCACCAATACGTCCACGCGCCTCGACGATGAGAAAATCCGTCTCGTTATTTTTCAATAAATGAGTTGCCGCGGACAATCCAGCCATACCAGCACCGATAATCAAGATCTTACATGACAGGCTGTCATCTTCCGAATTATTCGCAGGTTCCGCCATGTTTACATATGAACGATATCGGCCATCCGCTGGCACAGCTGTAATTACATACACATACCACGTACATATGTGTGATATAGGGATATCACACTTTCGAAATATAGCATCTGTAAAAACCCTAGTTTCACACTATTGCATAATTTTAGTAAGTTCTACGGAATACTGTACCGTGAGCATCGTCAGTCGTCAGTATTATATCATATCGTATTTTTCGGCTATTTGTCGGTCACATGGGTGTAATTTTATCGATAATGTTTTTTTTAGCAATTTAACGAATAATCTGCATTATTATACAAATTAAGTTACATCGTGACATTCAGAAAAATGTCTAATTCACTCGTGCATAAAAGCTTAGAATTATTGGGTTACGAAGAAGATTCACAGAGAGGTTAGTTTCATTTAAAACCCGTATGTGTACATATGTATAATATATTTATCAAACGATGCGCATATAAATATTTATTTCAGATAAAATAAATTTCAGAACAAAGGAAGAAGAAGAAACGTAAGGATATTAGATACAAAGGAGCCTTAGATCTAATTCCCACTAAACATAGGATAATCTCTAAAAACGACAAGACAGGTTATAATTAATCATTTAAATACGCATGATATAATAGATGAGCCTCATACGAAATTTATTATTCTTTATATCTTTTATAATTATAGATTATAAAATTATAATAAATTATTTAATTACGATATATTTTATTATATTTTCATAAGTAATATATTAGGTGTTGGAATTAATTCGTAGCGTTTTTTAATGAAAGAATGTTATTTATTTCACATGAGCATTAAAAAATACATTAATGAAAGTAC